TTTTATAGATACAGGCAGCCCAAGACCAATGGCCATATTTGAATTGCTGGATTATATTGTGAATGTTACCCGCTGATATCTTCAGCAATGCTTTTACAGATTTCGTAGGTCCTTACTTGAAAAAAATCCCGCCGAAAGAACAGATTTAAAAACCGTTAATGGTGTGTTTTCTACTTTATTCATTTAAATGAAATAATTTTTACTCTTATATTTCCCTTAAATTGTTCCAGAATCGTGAGCGAATGAGGAAAGCTGAGAATATAAGCAGCTGATTAGGTATGTCGTACAATGGATCTACAATCGACCACTCCAACCCGTTTAGCGAACGTCCAATCCTGAATAAATGTCACTCTTGCATACTTGACAACTCACATACGCATTCAGTACTCTTAAGTGAGTATTTACTTCTTTTCGTTCGATTAATATGAACAGTGACGTTTGTAAACTTCGTTTCTTTTTCTTTTTTAAACATTGTCATAATCCGTGAAGGGGATCTTTCGCGACTTTGAAAATAAAACTTATTGACTAGAATCTATGATTTTCGTTTACTATATTTTATACAACATTGCTCGGTAATTCGGACCGTTTGAACTATATGTATGGAATAGAACTTAAGAATATTAACGTAGGTTTTCAATATAAGAATCGCTGATTTATTCTTTTTTTAAATAATCATATTTTAGTTATTTAAATGCATAAGCTACTAGATAAGATACTGAATTTATGTTTAAGACATTTAACTCTTGTTAATGATACGTTACAGTGTGGTTTTAAAGTAGCGATAACAACCGTGTCAACACATGATATAAGTTTCAGTTCGACTGAGTTAACACAAGCGTTTCGACAGCAAGTTTTATAAAAGTAAGTTCCAGCGACACGTTACAAGCAATAGTATATCGAGTGTTAAGCGATTAAATTTTGTGTTAAACTTAAAGACAACGCAACAGAAACATTCAATAAATTGAATGGTTCAACTTACAGCGATCAAGTTTTACCCAGAGCACAAATATTTTTAAATGCATTTTTGAATGTTCGTGAAATCGTCGAAGATGAAGTTCGTTCTGGAAGAACATGCACTTCAAAAACTGAAGAAGATGTCGAAAAAGTGGAGACTTTGATTAGATTTGATCGTCGCTTGACAGTTAGAAGGATTGGTAGCGAACTAAATTTAAATTATCAAACTGTTCACGACATTTTGACCCAGAGTTTGGGAGTATGAAAAATTTTTGCGAAGATGGTTCCAAAGAATCTCACGGAGGAGCAGTAGGAGTATGTGTGGACTTCCTTAAACTAGGTAGAAACTGAATCAAATCCACAAATTTGAGTCCATGTAACTTTTTTTTCCTTTCAAAGTATTACGGCACAGCGCGACGGTGAACGGTGGTTGCTACCCGCTTCGCTGGGCTTTCTCTCGTCGTGCCTTTTCTAGCCATCAGAGAGATATTTTTATATTAAATGTTGATTGTAATGAATGTGTTGTGTGTCATGAGTCGGGAGAGTGTACGCTAGCTCTCCTCGTGAGTGACGCGAAGTCACTCCTCTGACTGATTGCTTGTGACTGACTCGAATAGTCTCCTCTGTGCTACGTGATCTACGTCTTCTTAGAATTGGTATGCGACTTTCTGGAGCCGGCCAAGGCGCCTTGTTTCCTAGGCTAGGCTTTTTTTTATGCCCTACCAAGCCCTTCCACGTATTGTCACTCTTTCCAAGGCCAGAGAAAGTGTCCATAGGTGAGAGTATGATAGGACATCTGGCAATTTTCGACAAAGTCGAGGCTTCTTAGGACTTGACCTGCCTGACGCCTCGAAGGGTTCTGTTCTGCGCCAGAACACAAAGATATAAAATCACTTCAAGGGTCGTCATTTTGGAATCGTAATCATCATTCAGAAGGTTGTAACCGACAAACTGAAAACAGTTGCAACAGAAATGTTCCAGCATTATCAGTATAGGGAACAACGCCTTCGAAGGTGTATAGCTTCTCAAGGGAACTATTTTGAAGGAGATAATATAAAATTATCAATAAGCGAAATATAAACATTTTTATAAAACCAGTCTCATTACTTTTTAGACACACCTCGTATATACGATATTGTGAACTACAGAAAGATTTTATGTAATTGCATGAGATACATCACTGTGCTGAATCCTTATGTCATTTCATGTGTATTTCATATATTTATCTTATAATTTTGTTGAAAGTATGCATGATAAACGATTATCCTTTCAAGTTCAACGTTATTGTACATTCGTGGACAAGTTGTGTTTCCTGTGATATTAGGATACATATGGGCATCCGATATATGAGAATTTGAAAAAGTGTAAATGTCATACGCCCTATGTGTCATATGCCCTATGATCACAAGCAACTCCACTATTTTCAAAACTCTGATAATGGCCCATATAAAGATAGCCCAGAAAATAAAGAAATCAGTCAGTCTCTGAACCTTGAACTTGCGTCTTCATTCTGTCCGAATCTGTTTCTCTTCACGCATCTGTTTTTTTCTTTTTTAGCAATTCAACCGGACTCCCACAGTGACATTAATTAGACATTCATACAGCAGCATTCACACCATAGAAATACTTTCTATTATTGCGAGAATAGTGTAATATTTTTTATGAAAAGCCACACGATTTCGAATATTGTAGATAAATGAAACAATATTTCAATAAGCTATTACAACCTTTTATATTTCTATTAATTCAAAGAATTCTAGATCTCTCGCAATTAATAATGATAAAGTAGCATACTGTTGTATAAAAGATATATCTCACCAAGAATAATATTTAATATAAATGTTGTATAACACGGCTACAATAATTGTGAAATACTGTTTTAAACATCCATTGACACTTTTAGGTCATAAAGAACATTTAAAGAACGATAAACAAATATCTTTTTAAATACTTTACCTCTTTTCGTAACAGTTAAACAATATGTTAAACACATAAATGTTTAAAAATCGCTTATCGTGTGTTTCCATATATATATCTGTGATGTTACACTAGAGAAATGAAATTGACAACATTTACCGCGGGGCCATGTGATAATGAATATATCCACATGATAACGAATATATACGATTGTATATACACGATTGGTGTACCAAAATTATGTGTACAAACTATCACAGCTAGAGTCTGCACCTTTGGATCGGTGGAGATTTATTTCAAANTAATACACAGATCTGGGTTCTGTATCATAGTTTAAGGTCATATCAAAGTCACTGTATAATACACTGTTGAATTCGTTTCGGCATCAGCAATAATTTTGTGATATCAAAAACATATGGTGTCACTTAAGAAAGTCAAGGACGTTGACTTTTTACGTAAATGTCATTTCTTGAGATTTATTAATATGGAAGCATGTAGCCCACTAAAAAAATTTTGTCTGAAACATTTTTTAATTGCACTATCGGAAATGCCTAAAACTAGTGACGAATCTTAACGCGGATACCCTGTAGAGGCAGGTGCACAAAAGCACGTCTTTTACGGATAAAATGGCAGGATGATGCTGTTTTATGGACCCGTGGAAGAAATGTTCGACGAAGAAATTAAGTACAACAGCAGACCCCATTCCATTGCGAAATATAAACATGTTACATACATGGCAAGTTTAATAATAATTGAATATATCTAATATATGTAATATATTTCAGGAAAACGAGTCATTTCCGATCGATGGTTTCTTGAAGATTTTTTATCCTCTTGATGAGTAGATCACGATGCAATGATAAAAAAAACTTTGTGAAAACCGGTCAAGGACAAGTTTACACGTTATTTTTCAAACAGATCTCCATCGATCCAAAGGTGCAGAATCTAGCTGTGATAGTCTGCATACATAATTTTGGTACACCTTGTACTGTAGCTGTGTAATCAGATCTTCCTTGTACAATTTTTACGAACTGTGTTTGAAAGATTCAAGACCTGTTCTTTTAGCTACCTGTAAGTATTTACACATATTTTAACAATTACACGTAATTAAATGATGTTAATAATCTTTATTGTATATACGAATAAGGAAAGACAATTTAAAGGAGTTTTGAAATTCAAATTTTATTCAAACAGAAGCGTTCAAACAAAATACTACAAACGTGGATATCAGTCATTCTTTTCTGTAGCTACGAATCATTAGTTATTTCTCTTAATCGAACAACATTTGGTCCGCAATAGACAGGTATCTAATAATAAACGTAGTCGCTTACCATTGTAATACGCTGATAAAAAATACCTACATGTACATAGTATAATGGCAATATAAACATGTAAATGTGGCGCGTTACAATCTCTTGTTTCCTGTCGAAAGTTTCCTGTCGCATTGAAATTATTAATTGAAAAAAAATAAGAAGAAACGATCCGTTGAACGAGGATGGAAGTTATTTATGTTTGCCTAGCCATTAATTTTTTATATACGCGACCACGTAGATGTAGCCTTTTTCTGATTTTGCTCAAAAAAAGTAACGGATTGTAGGAATATCCACGCGCAGTAGGAATATCCACTTATGTGCCTAGGACGTCCAAGAACTGATCTTTCGTGTTACGTTTATATGTCTTCTAACAATATGCTAATCCTGTTTATCGTAAACAGAATGACACATTTTTTCGACAAAAGTACTATTAAGAGAATTATGTAAGATACTTATCATATACAACCATAGAAAAGAAAAGATTCTATCCACTGAACAGTGAATTTCAATTGTCAAAGAGGTATACAATTACTTCTGGCACATATTCAAAATATATGGATATTCCTTGTTACAAATTTGTGCATAATAATTACCGCTACATAAATTGACTGTCTAAATGTTGTAATTTCATTGAATAAATTTATCATTTAAAGAATAACTTATTTATTGAAGTATACTTCTCGTGTGTTGAAATCCGGACGTTCATAAAATTTATTTTTATATATTAACTATATAAAATATATAGTTAATAAAATTATTTATAAAAATATAAATTTATTTATCTCGTATAATACAAAGTATTAAAATATTCGCTTTCATTAATACTAATTTGATTTAGACAGAACATTAAATTCTTAAATTTAATTGTGATGGAAACATTTCGTAGTTTGTCCAAATTTACATGGTAATACTAGTTATCATGGTATAAAATAGTAATAATGTGCTTCGTTTATAGATAATATGATCGCACTACTATCTATCATCCCTTTTTTTTCCGTTTCCTGCAAAATCATTCACAAAGTTTGTCTACCGACATAAGTACTATCAGATTTTATCTCTAAAGTTAGTGCAAATAAACATGTCTAAATCAAAGTTATTCTCATTTTTTCAACACTTTAAAGTGTTTCGTTAACATATTTACATAGTACAATTACACAATAAATATTTACAAATATTACAGTACAAGTGGAAATGTTACAGTGAAATTACTATTTCTAAAAACGGTGATACGTTATTAAAAGTACTAAGATCCACTGAGGTACCGCCTACGACTATTTTTAAAATAATATTGTTGGTTCGACTGGCCGTAATCCTGGCAGCTTCCTCTAATGTTATATTAGTAATAGATGGGGATTCTAATAAATCTAGCATACTCAATTGCGGCGCGGACTTAATAAGATTAATTATCGCTATATCCATAAATTTCGAACGGCGACATTCTATCCTTTTTAAATTGGATGCGTCACATAGACGCACTTTAGTCACTCTTGGCATTTTGTTCATTATTAACACTTCTAACTGAAGAGATGCTATAGCGGCCATGCCACGGTTTGAAATACCAGAACAATCTGCAACAGACGAGAAATTGAGTAAATTATTATATAGTGAATTACTTCCGTATGATATCTGACTTACTGGAAATGTCTAGATATGTGAGATTCTGGCATGTCATTACCAGACGAGAAAGAAATTCGTCCGTAAATACACTGTTCTCACTGACTGTCAGAGCTTTGAGAGTGGATAATTCCGTAATATATAATGTGTCTGTCATTAGGAATTCTGATGTAGGTGGAACATGACAAATTTTTAATCTTTCTAAATTCTTACAACATGTGCCGAGAAATCGAACGATGTTACCGGATATGCAATCACATTGACTTATCGTAAACGCTTTTATTCTTTTTAATTTGTTAATTGCCTGAAAAATATTAATTACTCGATCAATCTTTCTGAAAGGTAGTGAAAATAAACTGAAAGCTTCACCTCCAACACACAGATTTCTTCAAGATTTTGACAAAAGTCTAGAACGATTTCTTCCAGTGTGTCCGGTAAATCCATTAAACACCGTCCGGTTATTGGAGTCCGATAGACTTCAAAATATCGTAACTGTGGATTCTTTTCGAATAATTTTTTTAGATCTACATCGCAAACGTAAGTGATAGGACCAATACTTAATTTTGTAATATTGTGGCAGTGTTTGGTGAGCGAATAGATACCAGACCGCGAAACGCGAAGACCAGTGATATTTATTATTTCTAAATTACGGCACCTTCTTGCGATGATATTTACTGCATAATAAAAAGACGGCACAGAGGACAGATCTACTTCATTTAAATATGAACCACATCGGAATAATATTTTACGAAGCATATTTAAACTCATATGTCTGTTGTTTCTGTCAGCGAAAGAGCTCGACATACAAGACCGTAAATCCAATTTTTTCGTATTATACCATGAATTTATAATTAATGATTTCCACCTCTTGCACACTACAATTGTTGAAAATATTCTGTGTACACTTACATAAATATACATAAATATCCACTTCATATATTTTAAAACAATATTAATACTGTAAGAACAAAAATGTATGTACTTACCTCTTTCTAATCTGATCCTATCCATAATTGGCAAATAACAAAAAATGTGCATCAGACAGTCGTCATTTAATTTTTGGATACTAATTTCATTTTCTCTCCAATCCTCATCTGACACTATGTTACATTTTTTTTTACGTTTCCTTACACACTTTCCTTGAAGCCAAGGATTAGCGGCCTCAATAATTAAATTTTTACTGTGCAATATTACTCTTCTAGCATTTCTGGCTCTATAAATCATGGTATAACGTATGGTTTTCTATCTATAGTTACATCTCCGCATTTATTTAAATTAAGATTTACCTTATAGCTGCACTTAAACTATTAAACGTAATAAGTGCATAGTTATTTCTGTTTCTTGTATTCCTTCGTAAAAAGCAACTCTCAATTTTTCCATACTTGGAAAATAATTTTATAACATCTTTGTATTTCGTCTGAGAAAGAACATTTTACCGTTAGATTTACATGCTCAATGAAAATATTGTATAGCATTAGATGTATATACATATATGTACAAACCTTCCGTGCTAAGTTGCCGACAAATATTTTTCTAACTGGCTCACCATCGCCGGTAATAGATGTGAAAATGGGAATACCTACAATAGATGAATGAAAAATATGAAAAATACAGCAACGTCAAAGTACATGAATTTACCAAACAATTCATATTTTATTACTGGTCTTTTCCATGACGTGACAGCATTGACTTTTCCTGTCTTTATTGTTCCATAATGTAGCACCATGTGACCAATGTTTATGGCCGTGTCCCATGTGTTAAGGGTCACCTGACCCTCTTATCATTTTCGTATCACATCCTGCCGTATCGACATAGGCAAGTATTACACTATTGCGCTGTTGGTGATGGAAATTAAAATCAGAAAATATGGATAGTTGCTGTTTCCTCATCGAAAATTATTTATTGAATTGAATCCAGTGACGAGTAAACATACATATGTATGTACATACAATGACCATAATAAATAAACGCGAATTTAGTAGACATTGTTTATAAAAGTTCATCATCGTATGGTGTGATTTTCCACAAAAGTACATTGTTTTCTTAACGATCGAATTATTTCTAGGTGCTGTACTGAATAAAAAATAAAATTCTCTCTAATTGGTTGGCGCTACACGCCAAATTCAAAATGCTTTTTCGAACCATATTAAGAATTATCATCGATATACAAGAAAAATTAATATTTGAAATTGGCCAATGATGTCGCGGGTGCGTTGAATTTTACATACACGTTGCTGTGATTGGTTGGCATCGCACGTCGAATTGAAAATTCTTTTATATTGAGAATTATCGTTGATATACAGGAAGAATTAATATTTTCAAACGGCAACTGATCGTCATTGGGCCAGTTGAATTTTACAACGCAGTGATTGACTGGCCGAATATATAGTTCTCTTCAGAATCGTATTAAAAATTACCATTAATCCCAGATCATTAATCTCTTATTAAAATAAAAATAGTACTTATTTATGCAAACGAAACAAGCACTTACCGGTATCCAAAGACGTTATCCGTTTTGGATGTATATTCTCAATAAAAGCAACAAATATAAGACAAAAATAGTAATGATGGTTGATGTCAAAATCAAATATGCCTTAAATGCCATATTTACATAAAAAAACTTACAACGGTTACAAGCCTCTCGCACAATATTTTGTGTGTACCGGAACTCAGGAACCAATACATAGCTGAACCAGAATTAGTTCATTTCTCTTCCTCTAGCTACAAGCCGCCTTATAAACTTTCCCTTATTGGTACCAGAAATAATATCTAAAAAGCGACAGATTCCATTGCAGTTAAACGCCAAGAAAATTGATTTTACAATTAAGCCCAATTTTCTGAAATAGCATCATTGACTAATAGGACCTCAGTCAATGACGATGAATTATGCAATAATATAATTATATTAAATGGGCCCAAGTTGTAAGAAATTTATTTTATTGTCATATTAATTTCTAAATACTTTCAATTTCAAAAAATTGTTTTCAAATAAATTTTCTTTATGATTTATTATCAGTAAATATTTTAATTCGTTTATAATATGTTTATAATGTATTTGTTTAATGTTATGATATAACATATTATATTCGTTTATAATGTAATGTCACAATTCCTCGTTTATATGTCTCTGTACCCAAGATCCCGAAAATATTTGCTTGGATAAAGGGGATCGCCAAATAGAAAAGTTTGAGAAGTCCTGTGTTAAACAATAGGTTTTCACCTTGTTTTGACAATTCAAGTACAAAAATACTATGTGTAAAGGACTCACAAACACAGACCGCGTCAAGACAATACATATTTTTAGCCACTCGCGTGTATCAGGCTGATCGCGAGCCTGTTTGTTATATTGTAATATTAAAAACATTTTCAAATAAAAACATATATACAGAAACGATCGGCATTGCTAGGAAAATGTGAGTGGCTATGATATTTCTTTTTACACAACCACAGATTTTCGTAGAACATTTAACGAGAACAGCTATATGATATTAGTTATGTGAGTGAATTAAATAAAATACACTCTCTTACTATGTTTAATATATATATAATTATATATATAATTACTATGATTATATATATATAATTATATATATAATTACTATGTTTAATATATATATAAATTGAATAATGTATATAATAATATAATTATCATTTATGAATTCACTTTCTCGGAAATCAATATTACTTTTAACTCAGACTCGCAATGAATACACTTCTGCTCGCTTATGAACAAAAACGCATCACGCAACACACTCGCAATTGTCCATTCACCACTCATGCCTTCGCTCGACTCTCATGCATTCTCACACATACAACATAAAACCAAATCCACAAGTTATGTATCTTTTTCTTGCACATTCGGATTTTCCGAATAATTTTTCACTCTCATTAAATTTATCAACATTACCACGACGTTGATCTCTCATTCTTTGTACTTGTAAATGGCTTTCTTCATTACCGATGTTGTAAAGCTTGATTTGTCCGTTCAAAACATTAATTTCATTTTCCGTTTAAATTAATCAATTAAATCATTTCCTTTTACTCTTTTCACTCCTGTTTTCTTCTTTTTTTCCTTTTAAATTAAACCATGCTCTTGAAGATTAGAGACCACCCTTTACAAGTTTGTTACATAATTTTTATTCCTCATTTTTTGAATTTGTCATTTTATTAGGTCTAAACGACGAAATGTTAAGATTTCTTCAATTTCTGTCGTTCAACGCTAATGTTTAGTTAAATAAAGTTCGATAAAATAATGAAAAATAATCATACAGCTAGTTTTAAGGACTCATTGCAAAGGAAAGATTTTTAATGTTTCACGTCATGATTAATCGGTCACAACAAAATTTTTCAGTGATTTAAAAACTTTTTTCTCTTCGGCGAGAAGTTTGTATTTTTATAATTTTCAAGAAGAAAAATATTCTTACTTTTACACACTTCTTGCATTATGTAAAAATAAATATCTTTAAATGAAACAAATTCAAGATGTTGAAATGAAGATTTTAGTCTGTAAAATAAAATCAAGTTAATGGATCTAGAATTTTTTTCATGAAATTAAAACAGTTTAAAGTATTGACAATTTTTCATCTAGTAGTCTAGTATGAATGTTTTCATTTTTTCTTTAAGAATTTCTTATGAATTTTGTTTATTTGATCTAGACTAGTGTTTTCTATTTTTTGCTACGAGTTAACATTTCGTATGTATTGAGTTTAAATTAAAGATTACAACGCCAACGCAATGAATACGCAATACAGTTCCTACGATTCTCAAACGATAATCGATATTTCTGAGGACTGATTTTTAAACTTGAAGTCTTGTGGAAAAAAGCACACTTCATCTGTAAAGAAGAAATCATCCAGAAGTTCTTAAATAAAAATTTAAATTAATAGCTGTCCGATTTGTGTATGTGTTGTGAATTTTTAAGGTAGGACTTGCACTTTTGCCTTCAACTCATGACTTTCACTTTTCAACAATTAAAGAAATTATAGCATCTGAATATTTAAACAGAATATACCATGCTAAATATTATTTATAACTTTATACCAGAATTTAATTTCAATTCTAACCATTGCAAATATTATAACATTGTATTACCTTTTCACTATATACACATGCTTTTACTTCTATTGTTTACTTCTTTTTCTAGTCACTTGTTGATACTTTAACCTCATGCTGCGTGATTTTTCACAATTCTAATACTAAACTCAACAATAATTTATTAAGAATTTACGTAATTAATAATTAAAATAATAATTTTACTACGTAAATTTAGTATAATAAAATTTCTTAGTTTAAAGTGAATGTTTCCGTTCTTTTTTAAGAATTTGTCATGAATTTTGTGTATTTGATTTAGACTAGAGTTTTCTTTTATCAAAATTGTTCATTAGTAGGTATGACCATAATTGGTTCCCTAACGAAACAGTAGATCTTCAATTAAATTTAAAATTATATCTATATCTCAATTCTTACATTTAATATTTAATTTCCAAAATTAAATTGCTTGTATCAATTTCAATTTCAATCTGAAATTAATTTTACTTTAACTTAAAATTAATTTTAATTTGATTACACGCATAGAACAGCGAGTAATCAAATATGCTCAGATAAAAACAATTCATTCAGAGATAAAGCTCATTAACACATTCAATCATTCTATATTTATACCCTTATAGTATATTTATACTTTATTATACTCTATAGTATATTTATACTCTATTTATATCCAAAGAAGAGAAAAGAAAAGTTATATCCTCTGTTCCAGTTTTCTGCACCACTCCACATTCAACATTACAATATGTCCATAAAGTCTCTTTATAATTTCAAGAATTTATTACAAAGGCAAATGAAAAGACAGATAAGTGAAATTATTACAAAATGAGACGTATGTATTTAAGTTTTTTTTCACCTCATTTAATACAACTCTATATGGGCACCATAAGTTGTACATCTTACACGATCGATCGTTTCCTCAGATGTTCTTGGTCATCCACATCTCCCTTTATCGAGCACTGTCCCTGTCTCCATAAATTTCTTGTGCCATATACGAATTGATATGGACGTGACGGTGGATCTCTTCCATATTTAGTTCTGAAGTTTCGTTGAGTCTGCAGATCCGACTTGATTTCAATAAACCATGATATACACTGTGCTTTCTCTTAAGGAGTAGCCATTTTGTAAGGGATCATTTTACAGTATCTCATTCACCAACAAGGTACTTGAAATGGAATGTGATAGAAACCTTGATAACCACTGGGTACATAGAACAAATTTAATGAAGATATCTCATCAACTTGTAATAAATTTTTGAAATTGTAAGGAGACTTTATGGATACCCTGTATTTGAGAAGTTATACATAATTTATATAACAAATAATAGATGAATCATATCATCATGAGAGAAGAAAAATTTGTATGGTTTAGATAATAGATTTTTGATATATTTATTTTAATAATACATATTTGTTGGAAATATATATTTGAGTCGAAACATTTTCACGTCTCATGTCAAATGTCATGAGGTATTAAATAGAATCTATTACATCGCGAGACAGTCGCAATTCGAAACGTTACGTAATTTCTTCCAGAATTTTTTTGAGGAAGGACGATTTAGACTTCTTGTCGGCATGAAGAAATTTATTATCCTGTTTTTAGATCTATTTGACCAAGGGCAATGGCTCGCCGTTATACTTGTTATTGTTAGTGCTTATGGTTAATCCTGGGTGTTTTAAAAAGTTTTCAAATAACATTATTTTCAAATCACTTTTCAAAGTTATTTCAGAAGTAATCTATTTGTAAAATAACGAAATCAT